AGAAAGACTCACGTTGAACATCTCTGAGGGCTCGAGCACGTCAGAAAAGACTCACGTTTGTCCCTGTTGCCCACAGCGTTGTGACGGAGGACTGTTACCCGTATCAGCCCCCCCAGCAGACGCCGGCCGAGGTGGGGCGCTGCATGATGCAGAGCCGGTCGGTGGGCCGAGGGAAGAGGCAGGCCACCCAGCGCTGCCCCAACTCCTACAACCACCACAACGACATCTACCAGTCCACCCCCCCATACAGGCTCTCATCAGACGTGAGTACCGGTCCATTCACTCGCCACACCGGTCAAATATTCACCCCGGCACGAGTTGCACATCCAGTAAATACTTAAATAAATCTGTTAAATGTGAACTTTCTGTCCTTTTGTGATGAAAAGGACACAAAAAAAAACAGGGACACCGTGTAGTTGTTGTGTCGGTGACTGTCCCCGTGCATACTTAATGTACCGTACCTTGGGGAAAAACGAGAATATTGAAGGATTCATCTGAATATTAAGTACTGGTCAATCCTGAAGTCACACAGCTCTCCACACCGGTCAGATATTCACCCCGGCAAGAGTTGCACATTCAGTAAATACTTACAGTGGGGAAATAAGTATTCGACCCCTTGCTGATTTTGCAGGTTTGCCCACTTAAAAAGAATGCAACGATCTATAACTTCAATCATATGTACATGCTAACAGTGAAAGACAGAATCCCAAAGAAAATTCCAGAAAATCACGTCATATCAATTTATAAAAATTGATAACCATCTGATGAGGAAAAATAGGTAAACCTGCAAAATCAGCAAGGGGTCAAATACTTATTTCCCCCACTGTATAAATGTGAACTTTCTGTCCTTTTCGTTACTTCCTGACAACAGGGACACAGTGTAGTTGTTGGAAAAACGAGAATGTGAAGGATTCATCTAAATATTTGTCTGTGCAAAAAAGAGCGGAGTGTGCTTTTAAGAAAAAAAAATCTCTTGAATCAGGACTGTGTTGTATTGACTAAGAATTTGTAAAGACTGAAAGTGTCATCGATTATAAGGATTTGTATGTACCTGCCTTGAACGACAATAATGAGTAAATAATACCAGCACTTTAGATATTAGGTCCCATAATCGTTATATACTGTCTTCTACGACTCGGACATGTATCTGGATTTAGATTTGTTTTCTTTTTTAATCAAATAACTCGAGTTTGTGCCCGTCATCGATTCATGATCAGCCACAATAATGGATTCAGAGAAGCAGCACAGTTGCAGGAATAATAGTTAATGCATAAAACTGAATGAGGAGTGAAACATCTCTTAGTTTAGTTATGGTTCTTTAAAGACCATTTGATTTCAAATGGATGCATGTGAATTTTAAAAGCACTGTTCATCACGAATGGACAAAGTTCTACAAAGTACAAGTGTAAGAGAGGCTCTTTTAAATGAACTCAAGCTGCCTCCAGAAGCTGTTTCTGCATGCTGGATTGATCTGTGTTCGTGTGGCTCTATCCACATCCATCAGAGCTAAATGACAGCCGATGGCTCCCCAAATCATTCCAGCCTGTTGTTTGTGTATCTCGATAGCCTGTGAAGTCAATGAAGAAGGCATTAGGACCAGTAGGTCCGGCCGAACTCAACCTTGTTATCTGACTTTTATTATCCAGGCGGAGTGGGCGGCGGTGTTTGTTTTCATCCTCTTTATTTTACTGGCATGTTATGATCTGTCTGTCTTAAAAAAAACTGTTTCCGTCTCATTTATCTCGCAGGAGAAGGAGATCATGAAGGAGATCATGGACAACGGCCCTGTGCAAGGTAATGGGATCCCTTGACAACATACTTACATATTCTGAATTCAACATTTGCCCCCTTTATGAATTAGACTCTTTCTTAAACAACCTGTCACTGTAACTGTCACCCACATTTTAACCCTTTAAAGCCTGATCCAAGAAAAATAGGAAGATTATTGGATTTTTTTAGTCTGAAGTCTTTCTTTGGCCCCTCAAACACATATGACGGAAAAAAAACGGAAATTAATTTGATTAAATTAGCGTGCAATAAGTCAAAAATATATTTTGGTGTAGTCTTCTACTGGCTGTTATCAGGTATATCTGAATGTGAACAACAGGGGTTTGAGCAAAGCTTTTACCACTGAATGATGCAAAAAGTCTCAGATCCCAAAAACTTCAGAAACCATATGAATCAAATATGATACATTTGGCATTATAGGGTTAAAACGCGTCATGAGAATGAGCCTCTCATTCTGACGCTTTTGCCCGGGGGTTTCAACTCTGACCTGGCTCTTTTGGTCCCAAATGACGGGCTTTCATGTCAAACGGTTTGACCTGACTTTCTTTTTGAACCCGCCTCACTGTCTGCTGCCCATGTGGACCCATGCCAAGTCCACTCCAACGGTGGGGTCACATGTATGTGTTTGTGTGGGCGGGTGTGTGTGTTCGGTGAGGTTGTGACAGCTTCGGTTATTGTTCAGCAGGAAGACTAACTTGCTTCACATCCAGTTAGCTTTTCTTTTTTTTTTTTTACACAAAGCCATAGATGTGTGTATGCACACGCGAAGTGTAGGTCATTGTCTTCTGCTGATAATAGTGGTGGTCCCAAAAGTGTGCTCAGACTGGGGAAACTGCTATTGGTACGAGTTAATCAAAGGCAAAGCCCCTGGAAAATAAAAGTAATGTGAATTTATTTTGAGCCTCTCTCTCCCTCAAACACAAAGACGTCTCCTCTCTGGTGTGTGGGTCTGTGCCACAAAGAGGACATTTTTTTAAATTTATGTAATGGAATAACTTAATTGCTTTTAGATTAATCTATGTTTTGATAAGATTTTCATCTTTTCCCCTTTCCAATTGGATCCCAGCGAGCATAATCAAACTATGTGTGTGTCTGTGTGTGTGTGTATTAGCAGCGGATACCTGCCAACTAATTCTGAGTTCTTGTTTGTTCTTGCAGCTATTATGGAGGTGCATGAAGACTTCTTTGTCTACAAGAGTGGAATCTACAAACATACTGACGTCAGCTTTACCAAACCGTCACAGTACCGCAAACACGGCACACACTCCGTCAGGATCCTGGGGTAAGACCCTGTGTGCACTAACAGGTCACATCTCATGCTTTAGCATCAGGTTTTTTCCAGCTTTGTCACATTTTGGCTGATTTTACACAAGTTAGAAAGCTCAACAAGCATGTGCTAGATTTTTGTTTTGTTATGGGTGAGCATGGGAGCTTGTTCTCTGTTGGATTTGTTAACAGGGAGACAACACTTCCTGCCAAATGTAGCAAACGGTGTTAGGAGAAAATCATTTTTCTTTTTTTTCTTATTAAAAAAACCTTCATCTATCTGCTGTCATTGTTTAGTCAAGCTCAGCAAAATACTTTATTGGATAAAATGGTGATAAAGGATGAATCAGAGCTCTGATTCAGATCCCCACATGCACGTGTGTTTGCACACAGTGAACATGTGAATGAGCGTCCCCTCCCAGACTTTCTTTTGCCCCAGGAGACACGCCTCGGCTCCACTCTTTCATCTACCCCAGACATTG